TATCTTGCAGATTTTTTGAGCAGGAACATCGAATTTGGAGATGGATAATATCAAAAATTCATTAATAGACGTCAATAGACGAATGAAATTCCTCATGGAAGAATCTGAAGATATGAAAATTGGAATTGAGCAGTTAGAGGAAATGGCAGAAACTATCCAACAAAATGTCAAATTGTTGGTGGAAATCTCTAATTCTCATTCCAAATATACCAAAGAATTGAATGACAGAATTGTTGATATTACTTCACAATTCGAGTCATTAGATACCAAACAGGAAATGCCAATTGATACAATCTCAAAAATACAAACAGGTACACAGCCAGGAAGCAGCAGTGGACCCAGCAATATCAAACGAGATATAGTAAGTCCCCGGAAGGTGACTATAAAAAATGGTGATGAGCATACAAGAGTTATAAGAATCAAAACTGATGAAGATGATGATACCCCTTTGTCATCAAAAGAAGAAGAATATAGATCATTTGCCAAAATTGTTTATGAATTGGAAGAAAATGAATCTTATTTTATTTCATCAGGGGATCATGTTTATCCCAGATTAATAATTACCAAAAATGCAGACTCTTTCATGGTCAAAATGGCAGCAGATTATGAATTTCTGGATTTGATCTATCCAGAAAAAGATTTAAAAGAAATTGAAAATTTTGATGATATATTCAGGACAGAAGTTTCAAAATTTGCCCAAGGGAGATCGATTCATATCAAATTTTATTCAATAAGTCCTGAAGTTGATGGAAGGATATACTATCCTGCTGAACATATTATTACAATTGGATATGTTGGCCGAGATTTCCAGATTGAAGTTGGCCGAAATAATAAACCATTGCCAAAAATCAATAGATCATGGATAAAATCCCGGAGAGTTTTGGGGATGAAAGTTCTTTACAACATTGCAAAGAACTTGTATGATAAGAAATTCAGATGTCTATGCCAATATGAAGGATGAACCCTCCTTACAAATAATGGAAAAGAAAAATCTACAATTTTGAAGGAATATATTTTAAAATTTGATACTCATCAAATTAGTGGAAGTCCAACAACAATCCAAGAATCATGCAGATTGAGGGAGTGCCCCACATGTAGACAAAATTGAAGGATTGATGAATGGAAAAGGACCTACCACTACCAAAGCATCAAGCCAGCTGCATATAAAGCCAAAGATGGAGAAGCAATAATAGAAAAGCATCAAGCCAGCTGCATATAGAGCCAAAGATGATAAGGCAATAATAGAAGAAAAGAGGTCCCTTTGATGAAAATTCAAAAAATGCATGTGAAAATGTAGACCCTAGGAGGAAAAGAATAGAGAGGCATGTGAGCCTTTTTTCAAAAATCTGATGTATGCAATGATGTAATAGATCAATAATAGTGAGTTTGAATCATGTATAAATAGAGGTATTTGGAAAGAATGGAGCATCTCGAATTAGAAACCATTCTCTTTCCTTAAGCTTTTTTCAAAATCAGTTTTTCTGGAAACCCCTTGTATACAATATAAATCTTGTATAAATCATTATAGAAATAAAATCTCAATCTTTTGATATCAGAAAGATATGAGTTTCTAAACTTTCTATCCCATAGATTCTTGATAGATTGAAGAAGATAATCTCTTTCTTACTTTAACAAAGAGAGAATTTTCTTTACTTAAGATCTTTACTCTTAATTCTAAGAAAAGATACAGTGAGGGCAGAAGCTGAAATAGCAGAATTCTCATTGAGGCAAGAGGCCGTTTGAGGGAGTAGTTTGCAGATTCAGAGCCTGAAGGTCACTCGGTTCTAAGAATACAGATTTAAGATCAAAAGTAAGGTAAAATTATTGTCTTTGTTAAATTTAGAAAGAATTCTTCTAATATCTTGAAAGAATCGTAGGGATTATTACTTATCATGTTTGCAAAAAACTTATCTAAATATGTTATTATTCATAAAGTTTGCAAGGAATTATTTGAATAATGCCAGGTTATACAATTAAAGGATTAGATAATCTGTTAGATAGATTAATGGAAAAAATAGAAAATATTTATTCTCAATTAGAGATTATGGATATATTATCAAAGGAATTTGATAATCTTAGTAAATTACATGACAATTATATTGCAGATTATGTTAATTTATTAGATCAAAGGATGAAATTATATATTAAAACTCGAAATGAGAGAAATAGAGGAATTTAAAACTATTCCAATAAATTAAGGATATCTTGTGCAATATATGACAAATTATTTCATTAAGGGTATAATAAACATTTTACCAAAAATGAATAGTAGCAGGTCATTTATAATAATGCCCCATAACAGACCTTGTTTAGGTTATAAAAAGTGGTTTACATCGTAGAAAATTAGATTAAAAAAAAAAAAGTGAGAGAGAAAATGGACAAAAAATTCAAAGGTTAAAATAAAAAATAATAATAATATATATATGATGTTTTAAAACAAGAGTTTAGCAGGGAACTGTGTATTAGTTGGTTTGAGAAATATAAATCAGAATAAAGTGTGATATAAATGTTAATATAATAGTCAGAACAAGGTAAAATTACTCCAGTGTATTATTTTGTTTCAAGCACAACAAGAAAATGGTACTTCGTGAAGAAACGGCTAATCGTAGCAAATGTTACGGGATGTCAAAATATACATTTTCAAACTATATTTCGAAATTTTCGATAATAAGCTAAATTTAAAAATTCATTGACGATTATACGATAGTCGAATCGATAAATATTCTACATTCTCTTGAAACTCATTTCAAGAACTATATCATAGACACATCGAATGATCTAAATGAATAACGAAAATAGTTAAACGAACATTAAACGTATGTGTTAAAAAATGCGTATAAGTCATTTTTTTTAAAAAAAATCAATTATTTTATTACTATTTATTATTTTTTTCGCAACAATTTTCTCAATACATCATTTTGTTCAAGAAAAATTATATGGTATAAGTTTGATTAATTTAAACTCAAGAGAGGTAAATCAATTAATTTAGATAAATTCAATCGGATATACATAATTAATTGTTATTGAAATATGATGATTGAAATTAAGGGGATAACTATGACAAAATTACAATTCCTAACATTTTTCCTACATAAGTTATGTGCATTTTTTACTTGTTTCCTTATATTTATATTTTTACAAATAAAAAATATAATATAATATAACAATTTTAATTCAAATAGAGGTTAGAAATAGTTAAATCAATTATTAAATAGTAGCACTTATGAGAATGATAATCCAAACCCTTATAACCACATTATTATTTGTTAATGATATAATATATTTGTGATATAAATCACACAACAATGCACGTGTACGACAATATCTTATAATCATATTATATCACAGGTAGTTCAACACGAAGACAATTATAATATTGAAACAATAATCCATCTTGTGTAATAACATATGAATACATTAATATATATTACACTTTTATTTTGCATTGTAGTTGAATTGTTGCTCATCCTCTACCTTGTTTATTCTAATATTCATGGCTTTGTTTCTCCACATCTCGTATTAGATCATAGATATCTGCTTATCTTATTGACTCTTAAGTTAACATCTTTTTAAATTAAGTGTTTGTAAGTTAATCATGACCATATCACCATTTCATAATCTTATGTCCCCATTTTCATCTTTCAGAAATGGAGTTTGACCAAAGTGTTACTCTCTCTGAAAAATAGATTATGATTGGGAAACAAAAGAAAAGAAAGATATTTTTGGAGAAATAAATCAAACACCGCAAGATTCTCCCAACTCGGGGTCCCATGGTCGTGGCAAGGCCACCACAGGTCATAGACCTTAAACTAAAAGTAACAAGTATGAGCCTCACAAAGAAGTCGAATAATCATCAATTGCACCGACAAGACTTTTGTAGCCAAATTTGAGAAAAACAAAATCTAAGCACGACTCCCCATAAAATGTACGAGAACATCATCAGGTATCCCGCACAAATGCCCTATTCTTTGAAACATCAACTCGTTATCATATCTCATTTCTTGCACAACTAATTAGCACGAACAAGTCTATTCATCCAATCTGTCAAAAATGGAGTGAAAATTGAATCAAGTTGACTAGATAATTGAAGAAACAAAGTTCTCTTGTTACTATGACAAAAATTGCATCAAATTTTGAGTCGTGGTACAATGAGGTCAATGCTTTAAAAAGGAGTTCGAGTCATGTGCGACAAACATAGTGAAAGAATAAAAGGAATTCAAATGTTATTGATATATGTAAAGAGCAATGTCTCTTTACCTAAGATAAAAATCGAATCAAATAGTGGCTCCCAGGTAACATCTCGAGGCCAAACTCTCTAGGTTTGATGGATTCGCCGAGAGTCGTTGGAGGGCGTGGAAAGGAATAAGTTCCCCATTTTAAATTTTTATTATTTATTAAAAGGGATTTTCACTATTGAATTATAGTTTTCTAGATATCTGGCAATATAGATTTTTTTATATTGAATAAAACTTCTCTGACAGATTATAGAAATAGGTTTAAATCTGGGTGTTGCGTGGAGCACCTGACTGGGCATTTGGTTTTTTTTTTTAAAAAAAAATGGCCAACTAAATGTTGACACGTGGCATCTGAATTTAATCCTTGTCACCATTTCCTGTTTTCTTGGTAAAACTGTTTTTTTTTTACGGCAAAAGGCAATCTTCAGAATTTAGAATATAAGGTTGTGCTTTTCTCAACTTCCCAAATCAAACATCACTTCTACTTTTTAAGTCAACTGACAAATGGAACAGCTCTACCATTCGCTTCACCACCACTCAAAAATCCACCGGCAACTCTCTCTCTCGCGTGGACTGAGGAGAGTGAATAAGAGAAAGCACCGCCTTCATCATGGCGGCAACTACCACTTTTGCATACTTCACTACCCAGTTCATCGTATCACCAACTTCACACCTCCACCACTCTCCGTCATCCCTCACTTATCCATTTGCCACTCCCCATACGACCAGTCTCGCGCTCTCCTCTGCCAATTCAATTAAACTCAGCCCCCTACAACCCACTCGTCGTATATCCTTTATTACCTTCTCCAGCAACACTGACGGTGGAGAAATTGGTGGTGATGGCGGAAGTGGAAGCGGTTCAGGTAGTGGAGGAGGTGGGGCCGGAGGTGGAGCTGGGGGTGATAATGAGGGAGATGCAGGGGAAAGAAACAAGGCAGAGGCAATCATGGCCCTGGTCGAGGCTGGCAGATCATTGGATAGCATTCCTAAGGACTTGGCTGCCTCCATAGAAGCCGGGAGGATTCCGGGTTCGATAGTACAGCGGTATATCGAGCTCGAGAAGTCTGCGGTGTTCCGGTGGTTGCTCCAGTTTGGAGGGTTTAAGGAAAGGTTACTTGGAGATGATCTTTTCTTGACTAAAGTTGCTATAGAGTGTGGTGTTGGGATCTTTACAAAGGTTTGTGCCTTGTCTTGAATTACTATTCAAATACTAATTACCATAGCAAATATTCGAATTTTTTTTAGACAGTTAATAAAGTAGTAATAAGAATAATCAGAATATGACATGTCTTAAGAATGTGGTTATTTGATGTGGATTTGGATCATATTTGAAATTTGAAAGGCCTTGACTAATCAATTATGCCTTCAAAATGGATGTTTTGGTAAAATATTGGTAAATCTTGAATAATTGTTTGCTAGCATTGGCTTTTATTACATTGGGAAATTACCATGAAATGTTTATTCAAATTTGGGAAGATGGTCTTCTGTTAATAGCAAAGATGCAGAGATTTGGATGGAGTTTATATGAATTGTTGCAATATTAGAAATTCATCACGAGTAAGTTTGTGACGAAGTACAGCCAAAATTGATATGAAATAAAAGGGGAAGATTTTCTTGACTGAAATTTGCAGCTGTTACTCACTAAAAAAATATGTACGGTTCTTTTGGTGGTCTTTATTGAATTTCTATCTATCAAGCAATTTCTGAAAGTTTCATGTGTTTGCTATGTCCTATCTGCATGCCAGACTGCTGCAGAATTGGAAAAGCGCAGAGAAAAGTTCACCAAGGAGCTAGATTTCGTCTTTGCTGATGTGGTACGATTGCCTTCGCAATATTTTTGGGTTTCAGTTTACTTGCAAGAAATATAAATTATATAATGTGTTGTTATCAATGAAAGATTGCAACTAAAGAACGTTCCTTTTGATTTGGAAATTAAAACAGAAAATCTTGCCTTTTATCTTTCAACTGTCCATCTGCCTTGTGTTTTACAGTAAACACCCATTTACACCCTATCGGTCTCTTCTGTGGTTATGATCAACAAGGTCTCAAGTATCATTGTTTTCAGGTGCTCCATTTTCTTTATAAAAACTTGTTTCCATCTAAAAATAGCAAGAGCTTCCTGTATAGTGCTTGGAAAAAAATCGCAAGAAGATTCATTAGCAGCGGAAGCGCTAAAGGAAGGAGATGCCCTATGGTAGGAAACAGATTTGGAAATAGGATATATTGTATACAAGATCTAACAGCTTTCCTATGAGCAATCAGAATATCAAGATCAGAATTAAGATTTTTGGAAAGATTAGGGACTAAAGAATTACTCGTGCTTCCAGAATCTTTATGCTTGGTTCGGGTGATCGGTGATGTTGCGGAGTAATGGTCATTGGAGATGGACGTTGACCACTCTCAAGAGGTGAAGGTTGAGAACTTTCAGTAGGAGAAAATCCATAATTAAAACTAGTGGATGGAATAACATGTAGAGTTGCAGGAGACTCATAAGGCTGAACGTCAATATTAGGCACTACTAAAGGTTGAGGTTGAGATATAGAAGGGATAGAAATATTAGGCTTAACAGACCAAAACTGATCTTCAACATGTTCACTCTGCCACTGAGAAGTTTTAGTAAAAAAAAAAAAAAAGTGTTATTGAGTTATTGAAGAATGAGACATTCATAGACAAAGGATTTTCTTGTTTGAGGACGATAGCACTTATAACCTTTCCAAGTAGAAGAATATCGAAAAAAAAAATTAGACCAAATCTTTTGGATCTTATTTCCCTCTATCATGATCATGCATATGAAATGTGACACAACCAAAGATTTAGGCGGGAGGGAACAAAAAAGTTTAGATGATAGACATGTGTTTTATGAAGATCAAGTGGATTTTTTAGATCTAAGGTCCTTGACGACAATCTATTTGTAAGGTAAGTTGCTATGAGAATCGCTTAACTCCAAAAATGTTTTGGCTCACTCATGGTAAACATTATAGCTCTATTTACCGCAAGGAGACGTCTATTTTTTCCTTAACTATCCCATTTTGTTGAGTTGTATCCACACGAACTACGGTGTAAAAGTGCAATTTTCTGCTAGATATGAACCTAGTATTGATGAATAGTACTGCCTCACATTATCGGTACGAAGGGTTTGAATGTTCGCTTGAAATTGGGTCTTAACCATCTTATGAAAATTTTGAAATGCTTTCATTGTCTCAAATTTTTCATTGAGTAGAAACATCCAACACGCACGAGTATGATCATCAATAAATGAGATAAACCATCTAGCCCACTTGAGAAGGTCCCAAATATCACTATGGATGAAAGTAAAAATTTGTGATTTCCTATATATTTTTGTAGCGAAGTTTATATGATGGTGTTTGGATAGTTCACATGTCTCGCATTGAAAATCAAGGATATCTTTATTTTTAAACAATGTAATAAACTTTTCAAGTATGAGAAACGTGGGTGACCTAATCTTTTATCCTATAGCTCAACATCTTGATTGGAAAAGAAATTAAAGTACTCAAGTGTGTATGAGATAGATTATCTAAACAGTCGGTTCACTTTCGAAATACTAAAGTCCATCAATCACCTTGCCAGTATCCATGACCTTTCAATGCGAGAGGGACAAATTTTGGCAACACAATTAAAATATTTGCTATTTTTGCTAACTGAAAGGGTAGGAACATGTAAAACTTAAGTCAAGAGAAAGAGTTTTTGAGATAATAATACGCCATTTTCCTGCAATAGATAATAACAAACCATCCGACCACTTTCACCTTTTGTCTTCCCGAACATGGAGTGTAAGAGACGTACAAGTTAAGAGTGGCTACTCGTATGGTTTGTGGCTCCAAAATCAATTCTCCAAGGATAACTTGGAAGAGAAGCCGCAATTAAAGGTGCGGAAGAAATACTTGATTGTATCATCACAACATAAGCTTGTAGCAATTTCACTTGCTGTAAATGGCAAGCCTCAATAACTTGAATAAAGTTGGATCAGCTGGCAAAATAGCTGAAACAATGTGAATCGGCAAAAAAAGTACACCACCTTGATTTAAATCTGAATCAACCTATAAATGGCCCAAATCTTCTTGAAAAATGCAAATCGAAAGGAGCCGCTCAGAAAATATCCTGGACAGGATGAAAGCAAGGTAGAACTTGCTGATACCATGTTGAAAAACATAATTTTATTCCATGAAATGAAACATTACAAGGTTACACTATAGGTATAAAGGAAACCTAATTAACTCTCATAATTCAACTCCTTTAGTTGCTCCCATAATTAACATTCTATAATCAACTCCTCCAATTACATTAATTATGGTTCAATTATCTCCTAAGAGTATGCTGATTACAACTAAAATGAAGGAAATTCTCCATACACAAATGTAAATAGTTGTACAATATCCAGAAAAAATTAAAAAATTAAAATTACAATTAAAACACAAGATCACTGGATTCATTGGTCAATTCTGAATGTCCTTCGTTCTTCAAACCTGGAAACACTAATAATCTATTTTTCAGGTAATGGCCATTATTGCAGATTTCATGCTTGTTTGGCTCCCTGCCCCTACCGTTTCTCTACGACCGGCTATAGCGCCTAGTGCTGGATTTCTCAATAAGTTCTTCTATGGATGCCCTGATAATGCCTTTCAGGTTCTGTTTTAATATATACTGTTACATTATGTTTGCTTGCGTATAGGTATGTTTGAAGGGAAGCAAAACCTAGTACAGGCTACTGAATGAAATTGTTTTTATGCATGCTGCAGGTTGCATTGGCTGGTACATCCTACTCATTTTTACAGAGGATAGGAGCCATAGTGGTATGCTACTTATTAATAAAACAACGAATTAGAAACCTGGTATCTAGATTATGAATTCAGTAAATCTAAGAGAATTCTGATCCTTCCTGCAGAGAAATGGGGCCAAGCTATTTGCAGTTGGAACTAGTGCATCTCTGGTAAGTCAACACTTAAATATATACAAGTTCTTGATCACTTTCGAGTGCCATAAATCTTTGTGAGGGAACATCAGTGTGATGGGTGAAACTATGGTTTATGCATTTCATGGGGGTCCAAGCTGTGAGTATCTACGACTTCATTGTGCAAAAAGGGGTCACCTAAAAAATAGGCATTGCTATCAAGAGGGTCTGCATATAATCTGTATAATTAGAAAACCATTATGGGGAAATTACTTTTTCAAGAATCCCTTATTTCTTTTACACCAAATTAGCTGCTTAGGTGTTTTTTCTGTATACTTCAAACATACACAATTCATTTGATGATCTCCAAAAAGGAGTCAATCCTTTTTACTTTATCAAGAATCCCTTTTTTCTTTTACACCCAATTAGCTGCTCAAGTGTTCTTCTTCTTTTTTATTTTTATTTTTATTTATTTTTTATTTTAAAGAATCCCTTATTTCTTTTACATCGAATTAGTCACTTAAGATATAAAAGAGCAGGTGAAATTGGCTCTTGGGACCTCATTGGAGAAGCTATTGATGAATCTGGCTAGCACATTACCGTGTGTCGTGAAATGATGATTAGAATATGAAAATTCATTTCATATCTTCTTATCTAACAGTTTGATCTTTTACACAATGTATTCATTCAATAATCCCAACTTTAGGAAATTATTTCTTTGCATTATTTCCTCCCATGCCCTCTTTAATTTCCCTGAAATAGCTTGTTAAAGATATGAATCAACATATATTCATCCCAGGTTGTCACATTAATTCATTTAAGGTATGCATTATATGCTATAATAGCTAACCCATGGTTTTGAAGTAAGATACTTCTGTTATATGGAGTAATGGTAATAAAAGCAATTGCAACTTCCTCTTCAAGGACAAGTAAGTGCATTGATCTATTCTTGCATTAACCACCAATATCATGTTATAACTTGGGCTTATTTCCTGACAGTTTCTTGATTTTGTGGCATCTGTAAGGATTTTTTTCCTCGCATCATTTTATATGCAGGTTGGCACAGGTGTAACCAATCTTTTAATCAATGCACGGAAGGCTATTGATAAGTCTTTTGCTGGTGAAGCCGAGGATGTACCAGTATTATCAACCAGCGTTGCATACGGTGTCTACATGGCTGTTTCGAGCAACCTTAGGTACCCTTTTGACATTCTGTATCATGAAGAGAAAATTCGGGAAAATATATCTATATTACGGCCATATTCTATGCTCCTGCAATTCATTACATGTTTATTTATCTGATTTCCTTTCAATAGGTACCAAATCCTTGCTGGAGTTATTGAACAACGAATTTTAGAACCCTTGCTACACAATCATAAGCTCATACTTAGCGCAATCTGTTTTGTTGTTCGCACTGGCAATACTTTTCTGGGTTCATTGATGTAAGTTTTTCATTTCTCGTTTTCTGTTTCATATGAACATGTGACATTTTGTCAATTTGTGCTTTAACTCATTAATTGTTTAGATTTTCTTTTTCTCAAAAATTTTTTGGCTTTTAGTTTTCTTCTCAGATTATACTTTTATCTTTTGCAGGTGGGTGGATTATGCACGCTGGACTGGAATCCAGAAGCCACGTGAATAAAAACACAGAACTTTCGTAAAGATTCATTTTTATTTTCTTGTGTTCTTAGTCATTTTTACAATATCTATGTCAACGATGAAGGCAGAAGTGTTGATAAGTATTTGTTAAAGGAGTTGAGCTTGAAAACCTCCATTTTTCTATTTGTTTTCGTCTAATTTATTGTATCCTGTGGCTGCTTTAAGATAAAAGTTCTTTTCTTGCAATTTGGTAATGGAGCATTCTACACTGAACTGACCCACTTCATGTAAATGTTTCGTTGATAGGTCGATCGCAACTCCTTTAGGCCCTACTTAATACATTGTTTAAGTTCTTATTTTGGCAGTAATGCATGCATGCGTGCTATATATATAAAGGGTCGTTAGAAAACAGTTTAGTAAGCTGGGCCAAACATATATATGTGTGTGTGTATATATAAAGGGTCGTTAGAAAACAGTTTAGTAAGCTGGGCCAAACATGTCACAGAGCTAAAGATAGGGAAGATCGCCCAACATTCGTCAGTCAGATGCTCGATTAAGAGGTTAGTGATAAATTAATCGCTTTATTAAAGGAATATAAGGATTGTTTTGATTGGGAATATGAACATATGCCTGGTTTAGATAGAGATTTCGTGGAACATAGATTGCCAACCAAGTCAAATTTTAAACCTCATAAGCAACCTCCTAAGCGCTTTGCTCCTAATGTACTTCCTGAGATTAAGAAAGAAATAGAGCGATTATTAAAAGCAGGCTTTATGAGAACAGCCAGATATGTCGAGTGATTGTCCAATATCGTGCCAGTATTAAAAAAGAATGGTAAATTAAGGGTGTGCATAGATTTTAGGAACCTAAACATAGTCACACCCAAAGATGAATATCCAATGCCTGCGGTAGATTCTTTAGTAGACTCGACTGCCAGACACGTAATATATTCCTTCATGGATGGGTATTCAGGATACAATCAAATTTATATAGTTGAGGAAGATATACAAAAAACTGCCTTTAGATGTCTTGGATCTCTGAGATGTTTTGAATGGGTAGTTATGCCTTTTGGCTTGAAAAATGCAAAAGCGACTTATCAAAGGGCACTGAACTTGATTTTTCATGATATGATAGGCAAGTTTGTTGAGGTGTATATAGATGATATAGTGGTCAAATCCATTAAAGAAGAGGATCATTTTGAACAATTGAGATGTTCATTTGAGCGAATGAAGCAATATAAACTAAAATTGAATCCTTTAAAATGTGCATTTGGTGTTAATGTAGGAAACTTCCTTGGTTTCTTAGTACACAAAAGGGGGATTGAACTTGATAAAAATAAAGCGAAGGCCATTTTAGAGGCCAAACCACCTATCAATAAAAAGAATTGCAAAGATTTCTAGGTCAAGTAAACTTTTTAAGACGCTTTATTTCTAACTGTGCAGGCGAACTAAAGTTTTTTCGTCGCTTTTAAAACTGAAAAATCAGGACGAATTCATCTGGAAAGAAGAGCATCAAAAGGCTTTTGAAAGCCTAAAGACATATTTATCAAGTCCACCAGTGTTGGTGTCACCAATCCAAGGATGGCCAATGAAAGTGTATATATCGGCTGAACAAGAATCAATAGCTGAAATGGTCGTGGAAGAAGGCCAATTTGGTGAAAAAATGGCGATTTACTATTTGAGTAGACGGTTAACAAAATGTGAATGTAATTACTCTGCCATTGAAAAATTATGTATTGCATTGTATTTCACATGTACGAAATTAAGGGCTTAATTACGGTCCGTAACCGTTTATTTGATTTCTAAAGTAAATTTGGTTAAGTATATGTTCTCTCACCCTATTTTACATCAAAGGGTAGGCCTTTGGACTTTAGCGTTATCAGAATTCTAAATACAATACATACCCCAAAAAGCAATCAAAAATCAGACTTTGGCTAACTTTCTGGCCGATCATCCATGCCTTGACATGCCTGAAGAAATTGAATTAGAAATTGATTCATTCGAATTAAAACCTTGGGTTTTATATTTCGATGGGCCAAAAACCTCTAAAGGTGCAGGAGTAGGAGTAGCATTGATAAATCCTTTAGGAATTTGTTACAAGTTCGCATTCACTTTGGATAGGATGTGCACCAACAATCAATCCGAATATGAAGCCTTAATCGTGGGCTTAGAATTAATGATAGATATGGAAAAAAGAATGTGATTGTTAGAGGCAATTCTCACTTGGTAATTCACCAATTGATCGGTGATTTTAAGTGCCAAAGTGATTCCATTATAAGTCAATATGAAATCGCCCAAGAATTGTTGGAAGAATTCGACCAAGTAGAGCTTCAATGTGTTAATAGGATATAAAATGACATAGCAAATGAGTTAACCCAGATGGCCTCAGGGTATTCAAAGGCTTTAAATTGGAAATTTACTTATGAATATAGAGTAATATTGTCCGTAGTCTAAAGAAGGGCGAGAAGGATTGAAATTCATTGCATACAAGATGGAGATGCAATAGATTGGAGGGCAGAGATTAAAAGGTTCCTTAAAGAACCTAATAAAGGAGGTAGTAGAAAAATGAAGTTGCATTTACTAAACTATACATTGATAGATGAAGAGTTGTTTAAGAACGCTCTGATGGTATATTACTAAAATGTGTAAGTTTGCAAGAAGCCAGAACAATCATGGCTGAAGTGCATGAAGGGATATGTGGAGCTCATCAAGTTGGCCAAAAGATGAGATGGTTAATTATTAGGAATGGATATTTTTGACCCAAGATGGGAGAATCATGTGTTCAATATGCGAAGAGTTGTCTAGCGTGCCAAAAGTATGGTCCAATACAAAGGGCGCCAGCAAGAGAGATGTCACCCATTAGCAAACCCTGGCCGTTCAAGGGTTGGGTGATAGACCTAATAGGGAAGATTTATCCCACGTCGTCCAAGCAACAAACCTTTGTTATAGTTGCAACTGATTTTTTCACTAAATTGGTAGAAGCAATACCTTTAAAGGAGATCACCCAAAAGAGTGTCATAAAATTTATCCGTGATCATATTATTTATAGATTTGGGATTCTACAAACTTTGATGGTAGATCACGGAACTTCTTTGAATGGAGATCAAGTGAAAAAATTCTTGAGCGAGTTTGGAGTTAAGTTAGTGAACTCCACACCATATTACGCTCAATCCAACGGACAAACATAATCTTCTAATAAGATTCTAAAAAATATCATAAGGAAAATGATAGATGAAAATGTCAAAAATTGGCACGAATGTCTAAACAATGCTTTATGGGCTTATAGGACGTCGCCTCGATCAAGTACCAAAGTTACTCCTTTTCAACTTACTTATGGACAGGAAGCCGTTTTGCCTATGAAAATCAATGTGCAATCAATCAGAGTGTGTTTGCAACAGAAGTTAAGTGATGGTGAGTATACCGAATCACTAATTCAAAATTTACTGGAGTTGGACGAATTAAAGTTGGACGTCCTAGATAGATTGCAAGTTCAAAAACAAAGGATGACTAAGTTTTATAACAAAAAAGTTATTGTCAAGTCATTTAGCCTGTGCGAATTGGTTTGGAAAATAATACTCCCTTTGGATAGCAAGGATCCAAAGTATGGCAAGTGATCACCCAATTGGGAAGGGCCATATAAAGTAAATAGTGTGTTGCCTAATGGAGCCTATCATTTAGAAGATTTAGATGGCACCAAGCACATAGGTTCATTAATGACAAATATTTAAAAAAGTATGTTCCTTCCTTATGGGAAAGTGAACAAATAAAAGCGTAATCAATATAATTGCATTGAACGATCGTAGATAAATAAGGTAAGAACGAAATACGTTCAAATAAATTCCTTTGTTATCAAATATTCATTACAAATTGTGAGATACAAAATATTAAATGCTCTATGAGCTACAATTGAGAGCAAACTAATTTCTCGGTCGATCGCCAAGTAAGAAGGTGAACCGGCCTTGATCGTCGTCCTGATCCCACTGCTGTAAGGATAGGCAAAGAGGTCGAGAAACACTCTCAACAAGCAAAAAGGAAGAAAAGTACTCTCAAATCGTCTGCCTAATCGCATTGCTGCAATAACGAGTAAAGAGATTGAGAAGCACTCTGAGCAAGCGAAGTGGTTTGAAAGGCATCCTCAAAAATCGCCTTCCATCATTGAAATCCTTATAAAGAACATGGAGACAATGGGAAGACCTTTGATGGCCAAAGAATATTTCCTATATCTCCCATACCAAAGGTGACATAAAGATAGATAGCAAAAAGGGCGGATCAAATGATCCATTTCTATGGAAGACGAAAATTTTGGATCAATTGTTGAGATACTAAATGATGGCAGCAAATTAGTTCTTGAATAAAAGAATGGAAATGAAAATGATAAGTGCAAAATACACACGCATTTATAGAGCCGTGAAGGTGAAAAGATAGAATATGAACGGCCACATTCGTGCCTAATAACTGAAATCAAGTGACCCAAAATCTTGGGAAAAGAGACGGGAATACCAAGAAAGAATGTACATGAATCTTAGCGTAAAGCAATTAAATGCTTGGGGGGTTGACGATTAAGGACAACGTCAATTAATACTCAAATAGACAAAATAGTCGTTCATTAATGACGATAGCTGCTGTTACATTCAAAATTAGCAATGGCAATTAGTGCCAAATTACAAAAGGAAAGTTAAGGCATTGGATGTCTTAATTACAATTCACCCCAAGCCGAACGTATTTTTTCCCTAAGTCTTCCCCAATCTTTGCTCTGTTGAGAAGAAGCGACATTTAATTCAGTTTCAAAATCGTCATCAACCTCCAGCTTTTTATTCTGCTCAACCAAAGACTTGGTTCGTTCAATTCCTTGGGAAGTATTACGCTTTTTAGCAGCCATTCTCGCCCTACAGTCGTTCATCTTTGCTTGAAGCTCCTTCATCTCTGCAGCCAAGCTTATCATCAAAGAGTCTTCGATCATAACGTCGGAAGAGATTTCTTTCAATTCATCCTCGGCTTTGTTAATCTCTAGAAGCAAAGACTCTCTTTCAGATGCAGCACGAAGATATTGAGTACTCCTGGCCTTCAGTTCAACATTTTTAGCTAGCAAGGAGAGGATGTCAGGGTGGACAACTTTCAATGTCGCTTTAAAGTCAGCAGAAATATTGAGCGACGGAAGTGTAAGTGCTTGCGCCAATTTCGCACTCAATAGCTCAAACTTATCCTTATGTTTAGTAGCACTAGCCTGGCCGATATCTATGTCCATAA